TTTCCTCTTTCTCCGGAAGCGTTCAAATTTGTGACCCTCAGTTCTTGTCTTGAAAATTTTCCATCTTTGCTATTCGTTCTCTCGCCTGGGCTACCCCTCATGATTTCATAACCTCTGCCTTTTCAATGCTAAAACAGACTCTTCTGTTCTCTGCCTTCCCTGTATTTCCAGTCTTTTGATCTCAACAATTCTTCTTTTCCTTAGACATTAAACTTACTTTTTGTCAAAACTAACACCCTTCACAGTAAATCTAGTTCATTACCTATACTTTGCTATTGATTGCTCCTGGGAGTCTCCTTTCCTGTTCCTCTTGTCCCTTATATTGTACCTTGAAGAGAACTGGCTGCTCCCTCTTCTGGCAAACTTATTGTGTTTGGACTGGCCTAACACCAATAAGGGGCTCTTTCCTGACTCAAGAAATCGTAATGATAATGGGGACACGATTGCAAACAAACCATACCCCCGGCCGGGAATGGAAAAACACGCGGTCATAGAGTCTCAAAACTCCAGCCCGTGCGTTAGCCACTAGACACCAGCTAGCACAAATACGATTCATCCAACTATGTATATTTCTACTCCACCATAGGGAAGGTAAGCCAACAGGCACCTCTGTGACCACAAATGCAAGTTTTTACAGACGAATATCCAGCTAGCGTGGGGCCGTGACGTGTCATTACGAATTTTTGGAGTCATGTTGGCGGAGTGGAAGGGACTTGAGCTAGAGTTCGTCCACGGCCACGCTAGCTGGACACATTCGTCTGTAAAAACTTGCATTTGTGGTCATAGAGGTTTGCCTGTGCTAAACCTTTCCTAGGTGTAGAAAACTAAACCTAGTTGGCTGAATATTATTGGGCTGCTGGTCTAGTGGCTAACGCGACGGGCTGGAGTTTGGAGACTCTATGACCGCGGGTTCAATCACGGCCGGGGGGTATGGTAAGGCTCTTTCCTATCATGTTAGAGATCATAGGCATCCTATTGGGACTGGTCCTCTGCTAAATTGTCTTACCCGCCTTCACACAACACTGTCTTCTTGAAGTATCCTTATGCACAATTTCCTAATATGGATCTTAGTCCTGGTTTGTCTCTAGATGCCTCCTTCTCATTACATTGTCTAATGTTCCAGACTTCAGAAGGACTGTGACTTTACTTGGTCTTTTCTCCTTCTCTTCTACCTCTTCTTTCCATTTTTTTTCCTTTTTTTCTTTGTTTATCTTGTCTTCTGCTTAAAGTCAGTATGTTTCTGGCCTTCAGCTTTTCCCTCATTTTTGGTCCCACCTTTCATGGGCCATTAGCTCTCTGCAGTGCCTCCTTTCTCTATCCTTAGGACTTATTCACTTCTACTCCTATTGTGTTTGCTTTATTCCCCTTTATGTCTCTTGTCTTATAACCAACTACTTACTACTACTCACTAGCACTTACCACCCCACCAACCAACCCACTACTATTACAGCCATACCAGGCATTATCTCTACCACTACTACTCCACTTCCTTCTTTCTTCCTCTCTTCCATCCCTGTCCTCTCCTCCTTCCTCCTATGTATACTGGTCCCTCATCTTCGTTGTTGTTAACCCTTTCGGGTCCAAGTCACGCACAGGTCCAAGAAATTTTGAAAAAAAAAAAATTATTTTTTCTTACGAATTAAAGAAGCATATTTTTGTGAAGGTATAAAACAAAAAAAATTAGAATCTGATCAGTACTTACCGAAGATAAATGTGCCCAATAAGTTTGTAGAAAAGGAAGAAAATGATGTCTCCATGGTGGCGGCAAACATCGAAGAATTCCACATACGCGTATTATATTAGTTTGTTTGTTTTTGTTTTAGTTGTTTTTTTCTTTTCTTTTCAATTTTTTTCTATTCCTTCTAAACATTTGGGTGCCTGAGAGACCAATCATTCTGTATATAATTGATATATTAATAACACAACTGTAATTTGACCACCAAATAAACGCAACTAAAGTTATTATCATATTACTTGTTTACCCACTGTTGTTTATACAATAAAAATGCACAAAATAATGTATAATTATAATGCTCTATCATATATTTACATTTTTACAATACTGGAACATGGTTTTTAGAACTGCTGGAGCTTGTGGAAACCTCCTTGAAACAAGGCACCATACATCAGAGGCACCTTTACATCCCTCACACATAAACCGAGTGTTCTTTTGCGTCTTTGTTGCCGTCGTTGTGGTTTGTGCACAGACATGCATCTCTTCTGAGCAAATTTCTTTTTGAGTTGAAGAAGCTGTTATTATGAAATGATCACATTCTCTTCTCAAACGCTTGGGTCTATTGTGATGAATCGAGGACCATGTGTATTGCGGTGTTGTTGCCTGGTACTTCATATGGAGTTGTCTGACAACAGACAAACAAAATTCACCATACGGTGGTCTGTTACCCAGATCATTATTTGTACATATTATTAGGCTTCAGCATTGAAATGTCCATGAGATGGATGAAAAGTTTCATGTACCACTTGTAACTCTTACGAACACAGTCAACAAAAAACAATCTGCATTGTCCCACCACTGTCAACCAAGCGATGTTTTGTGTATAATCATTTCACTGTCACTGGTTCGAATACGTTCATTAGTCACTCGATCAAACTTTGCCACTGTCTTGATTTCAATTACGGTGAAGGGTTGTTCAACAATGTGACATTCGTTTGTTCATGCCACCGTAATGCCTTGATGTCAATTGGCAGTAGTAAACCACCTGCACGTCATACCACGACACCTGCGTTGAGCCTGGCATATGTTTAAGATTAGAACGCAACTGTGGCCACACACATCTGTAATGTTCACTCGCATGAAAAATCATGAGTAATGGGCTTGTGTACCAGTTATCGGTTATATAATGTATGGCCCTTCCAAGATTAAGGAGCCATCATGTTTCTCACTACGTCACCTGATATACCCAATAACATCTTGGTATCGTTTCAATGTTTTACTACCCGTGTTATACAACAATATCCAAACACCGGCCATGTCACATTCACAGAGTACAAACAATTTTATACCAAACCGGTTCTCTTGCTCGGGTATATAATGCTTGAATGGACAGTCTACCTTTGAACAAAATCAAAAGACTCGTCAATAACAGATTCTTGAATGGATTAAAAGTATATCCTGAACTTTTGTTTGGAGATACATGAAAACTTTTTCTAATCTTGTATATACCTGGTCATTCTGTCAGGCTGTTTTGTCAGTGAAGTGCAAATTACGTACGTAAGATAAAACCTGTTCACTGGTAATATTTCACTGAAGGATGGGGTACAAATTAGCCGATTCTGTGGACAGTATGCTTTTTATTAGGCTTATAGACGTGAGGCATAAGCATTATTGTTGCAAAAAGCAAAATACATTTCTGTTAACAGTCGTCTCTTTCCTCACCTGTGTGTCATGACTGTGGTGATAAGATAGTTATTTGCCATGTGTTTGTACTGAAAATACTTATTACTTTCCCTGACAATATTTCCATCAATGGCTGGTCAAAGAATAATTCAAAGAATTCCAGTTCATTGGCCGTGGTTCCAAGGGGACAGGTAGGTAGAATTCCACTTTGCGAGTCATCAAAGTGGTGAGGGCTGGGAACAAAATTGGGATTTTGCTGCCAATCCCAGATACGGTTTGCTGTTGGATACTGGACATCATAGGCTGGTTGTACGGGTGGTTGTGGCGGGCTGGTGGGTGACGCTCCTCTTTGTCCTTAAAACTGACGAGTCAGCAGCGTGGGTTCCCGCGTGGCACAGCGAGTCACGCATGGCGGTGCCACTACCACCACCAGCCCCACTAACACCATCCACTGATGTCTGTGGCCCATCCATGCCAAGTGTAGCCACATCATCCTCACTATCACTACCTAAAACGGGTGTAGGGCCACGGGATGTACTCCGGGATGTACTCCGTCCCCTGGGCACAGCATAGGGTACACTACCCGAGCGCATGCGCGGCGAACATACCGACGCTTCACTGGTGAATATGTTTCCTCACTATCACTACTCGAATGATCGTCGAGCGCAATAAAATCACAATCCACGTCAGACTCATCGTCATTACTGAAGTCAGAGGCCAGGCCACGGGAAAATATTAGTTTTCTCTTACGTTTAGGAACACCCGACCGTGAGTCACGAGTGCCCACACCAGAGGTAGAAGGTCGAGGATCGTCGGGGTATTTCTGCACTATTATCGATATCCTGGTCATTATTTTCGGTCACTAACTTATCAAAGCCGTAGAATTCGTCTTCATTTCCACTTCCATCAGTGTCAGAACTATCAGACAGGAAGAGGAGAGTCCCAATTTTCCGGGGAGTGAGAGCTGACTTGCGACGAGACATGGTGAACAAGGGTGACTGAGCCGGCGTTCCCACAATGCTATGCAGGCGCCTAGATTTTTTGTTTACGGCGCACACCCACGGCGCAGACCCATTCTCTCATATGTAGGCCTATGAGCGCTTTCGCGCTAAACTTGACGGCGCTAGAATTTTGGCGTAGATCTACGGTTTGGACACTCACCGACCAGCCGTAGATCTATGGGACGGACCCTGAAAGGGTTAATATGAGTAGTCAATGGTCCAAGTCAGACCAAAATGGTGTCATAAGGTTCTTTCTTCTGTGTTTGTTACTTGTGTAATAGCTACTCTGGCTGGCTCATTTTAAGATTTAGAATACATCATCATTATCAACCTAAGTATATGACTTTGAGGTCATAAGTGATAGCATTAAATTGACCAACAAATATTCTGTGCATAATGTGTTTGTTTTCAAACGTTCCTTCACTTTGTGAGCTGACAACTCAGAACACCAGTTGAGCATTCTAGAACATTTCAGTTTTTGCTTAAGATATAGAGCTCTGCAGTCAATTATAATCTAATAAAATATCTTTAGGTGTTTGAGCTTTTGTACACCTATTTTCTATAATTAATATGGAGTGACATAAGGTTGGAGGATAAACAAATCTCTGTGTTGTAATATTTAAAATGTGTTACCTTTACAGATCAAGCCAAAAAGAATACAGAAGGTATAGTTGGTGAGTCAGTGGTGTTGTTCACAGCTTCTGTACCATCACCGTGGATGGGTCCTCCACCTCTCCGCCTCCGCAAGATCCTGGATCTTGCTCCCATCACCATCACTGATCAGACTCCAATGGAGACAGTGGTTGACATGTTCAGAAAGCTTGGCTTGAGGCAAACTCTTGTCACACACAATGGGTATGTCTTGTCTTGTTGAATGAAGTGCTTGCTAGTATACATTATTGACCCTTTGACTATAGGGATCCCTAATTCTAAAGTCTCGTTCTGTGTCGAAAAATATTTGAAAAAAAAAAAAATTATTTTTTCTTGCCAGAATCTTAAGAATATTTTTGTAAGTGTTTTAAAACAAAAGTAAATTTTTGCTATCAATACTTACTGAGATATAGAGGCGTGAAGTTGACAAAAGGTGAACTGCTTATGGTAACATCAGGGACTGCTGCTCACTCAGTAATATTATTTTTACTTTTATTGTACTTTTTCTTTTATTTTTTTAATATTTTATTTTTTCAAGTAACTTTTGTGGCCTGTGAGACCAATATAGTGCATAATGTATGTATATCCAGTCGTTGTATGCAACACAGTAACTGCACAAATATTTTTATCATTATGTTTACAGAACCTGCTTACACAAACCTACAATAAAAGAAGAAGTTTATTACTATTGTTCTATAATATATATACACACAGTGGAACCTCTACTTGCGAGTTTAATCCGTTCCATGACCTTGCTCGCAACTGGATTTGTTCGTTTGCAGAGTCAATTTTCCTCATTTAAATTAACTGAAATGCAATTAATCCATTCCAGTGGAATTCTGTACTTCAATAATTTCGCTAATATCAACTCTACGGCTTATTTATCTATCTCACTTCATCTAATATGACATAATAAACAATATAAATAACATAGAGACCTGATACTTAGTCTAAAATGAATGAAATATATTTTTTTTTTTTTTCAACAAGTCGGTCGTCTCCCACCAAGGCAGGGTGACCCAAAAAAGAAAGAAAATCCCCAAAAAGAAAATACTTTCATCATCATTCAACACTCACCACACTCACACATTATCACTGCTTTTGCAGAGGTGCCCAGAATACAACAGTTTAGAAGCATATACGTATAAAGATACACAACATATCCCTCCAAACTGCCAATATCCCAAACCACTCCTTTAAAGTGCAGGCATTGTACTTCCCATTTCCAGGACTCAAGTCCGACTATATGAAAATAACCGGTTTCCCTGAATCCCTTCACTAAATATTACCCTGCTCACACTCCAACAGATCGTCAGGTCCCAAGTATCATTCGTCTCCATTCACTCCTATCTAACACGCTCATGCACGCTTGCTGGAAGTCCAAGCCCCTCACCCACAAAACCTCCTTTACCCCCTCTTTCCAACCCTTTCGAGGACGACCCCTACCCCTCTTTCCTTCCCCTATAGATTTATATGCTTTCCATGTCATTCTACTTTGATCCATTCTCTCTAAATGACCAAACCACCTCAACAACCCCTCTTCTGCCCTCTGACTAATGCTTTTATTAACTCCACACCTTCTCCTAATTTCCACACTCCGAATTTTCTGCATAATATTTACACCACACATTGCCCTTAGACAGGACATCTCCACTGCCTCCAACCGTCTCCTCGCTGCTGCATTTACCACCCAAGCTTCACATCCATATAAGAGTGTTGGTACTACTATACTTTCGTACATTCCCTTCTTTGCCTCCATAGATAACGTTTTTTGACTCCACATATACAAGGGGCTTGGACTTCCAGCAGGCATGCATGAGCGTGTTTGATAGGAGTGAATGGAGACAAATGGTTTTTAATACTTGACGTGCTGTTGGAGTGTGAGCAAAGTAACATTTATGAAGGGATTCAGGGAAACCGGCAGGCCGGACTTGAGTCCTGGAGATGGGAAGTACAGTGCCTGCACTCTGAAGGAGGGGTGTTAATGTTGCAGTTTAAAAACTGTAGTGTAAAGCACCCTTCAGGCAAGACAGTGATGGAGTGAATGATGGTGAAAGTTTTTCTTTTTCGGGCCACCCTGCCTTGGTGGGAATCGGCCAGTGTGATAATAAAATAAAATAATAATAATAAATATACCTCAACGCACCACTCACCTTTTTTCCCTCATCAATTCTATGATTAACCTCATCCTTCATAAATCCATCCGCCGACACGTCAACTCCCAAGTATCTGAAAACATTCACTTCTTCCATACTCCTCCTCCCCAATTTGATATCCAATTTTTCTTTATCTAAATCATTTGATACCCTCATCACCTTAATCTTTTCTATGTTCACTTTCAACTTTCTACCTTTACACACATTCTCAAACTCATCCACTAACCTTTGCAATTTTTCTTCAGAATCTCCCATAAGCACAGTATCATCAGCAAAAAGTAACTGTGTCAATTCCCATTTTGAATTTGATTCCCCATAATTTAATCCTACCCCTCTCCCGAACACCCTAGCATTTACTTCTTTTACAACCCCATCTATAAATATATTAAACAACCATGGTGACATTACACATCCCTGTCTAAGACCTACTTTTACCGGGAAGTAGTCTCCCTCTCTTCTACACACCCTAACCTGAGCCTCACTATCCTCATAAAAACTCTTTACAGCATTTAATAACTTACCACCTATTCCATATACTTGCAACATCTGCCACATTGCTCCTCTATCCACTCTATCATATGCCTTTTCTAAATCCATAAATGCAATAAAAACTTCCCTAACTTTATCTAAATACTGTTCACATATATGCTTCAATGTAAACACTTGATCTACACATCCCCTACCCACTCTGAAACCTCCTTGCTCATCCGCAATCCTATATTCTGTCTTACCTCTAATTCTTTCAATTATAACCCAATTATAACAGAAAAAATATAAGATTTACTGTTATTCCTTATTGCAATAATTGTATAAATAATGTCAACCCATTCACGACTGCATATTGGAATGGACAGTAACGTCATTTGTTTTCTCGGAAACAGCCAAGCAATGGACTATTTCTCCTAGGTTGAGCTCTGTTTCAAGGTACTTTTCGTCGTTCAAGCAATTAAAATCATATCTGTTTCTGTAATATATCTCCACTCTATCAAATGAGACAAAAAAAACGAGAATACAACCATAAAATCCATTCAAAATTACTGCAAAGGGGTGGCTAATTGCTGAGAAGTGAACTCCATTATTTATGCGTAGATTTCTCTCATTTTTGGTGTACATTAAGAAGCATCTTTTCATCATACATTGCCCAAGTTTCAACAAGATAGTCTAACAAACAAATGAGATACAATTCCCGAGATCAAGAGCAAGAGTCCCTCACCAGTGTCAGGGAACCTGCCTTGAGGTCTGCTCGCTTGTGGAAATTTTGCTTGCATATGGAAACAAAAAATCGACCCATCGACTGCTCGTATTTGGCAAAACTCGCACATGGACACGCTCGCAAGTAGAGATTCCACTGTATATAGTCACTGGACACGTTCCTAGAACTGCTACAGCTTGTGGAATGTTGTGTGGGGGTTCTTTCTTAGTTGTGAATGTGCTGACAGCGGTGTGGTTGGTGTCACAATGATGCATTACCACCACCACCCATTACCCACACTGTCTTCCACAACAAGCATGCTGTCTTCCCCGCCACTCACGTGGAAATAAGTCAGGTTGTCTGACTTTTTTTGGTTATCCTAGGTTGATAGTCGTCTCGGTCGTCCTTCCTTTCTACTTTCCTTCCTTAATTCTGCCTTCCTTCCTCTCATCTCTTCCTTCCTTCCTTCCTTCCTTCCTTCCCTCCTTCCTTCCTTCTTTTCTTCCTTCTGGTATCCTGGGCATTGCTTTTGGTCACAAACTCCTGAAAACCATGAAATTCATCTTCACTGACACTTCCATCTGTGTTAGAACTATCACTTGGGAAAAAGAGAGTCCCAGATTTGCCGGGGAGTCGGATATTTCTTACCACTAGGCATGCTGAACAAGGACTACTGAAATGACGTTCCCAAAATGCACTGCTGGCTCCCCGACTTTTTTTATACTGCTCACACTGACCATGTAGACCCATTCTCCCACATGTAGGCCTACCAGCTTTCTACCGCTAGATTTGAAGCCACTAGAATTTTGGCGTAGTACTACGGCACCAACACTGGCTCGTAAGCCATAGTGCTATGGCACCAACAGTGAAAGGGTTAAGTATGTCTGGAGAAGTGCCTTGAAGTAGTTTATGACTTAAGAATGCCTCGTCTGATTGGTTTCACTTTTTAATGATATAAATGGTTTAGAAAACCAACAAGTTGAAGATTTAGACACTTTTGTAACATTTGGGAATCTATTGTGGAAATGTTTTGCTGGTCAGTGGCTTCCTCAACACCAGGCAGAGGGACTGATTACCTCAGACTCCTCATCGTCCTCCATTCATCTCTACTGAACTGAAGAAGTCATTTGTTGGTGAAATATTTCCACAATAAAGATTCCTAAGTGTTGCAAAAGTGGCTTAATTATTTAATGCTGGTGCACTGTAACTAGAGAAAGGCCCATAGAATTATTGCCACATGCAGGTTCCCTCTTGTCATTATTTACATAGATCATCCCCGTACATGTGTATTTGGTTCTGTGAAGATAACTTGAGAAAACTTTTTCTGAACAACTTCAAGCTTTAAACAGTAGTTTGTTCTCCTTAGAATATTTTGATTATTGGTGTGTGTAGGCTGAATGGCTTCAATTTGACTCACGAAATCGTAATGACACGATTGCAAACAAACCATACCACGGGCGGGATCTGAACCCGCGGTCAGAGAGTCTCTGACCGCGGGTTCAAATCCCACCCGTGGTATGGTTTGGCTTCAATTTTATTGGGTGATGTATCTTGTGGAGGGGTTGGTACCTATTAATCTTAGACTATGCAGATAGTCGTTGACTTGCAGCCGGGTTAGGTTCCAACCAACCGGTCATAAGTCAAATTGGATGTAAGTCAGATAGGTATTGTAATTGCCTATTTTATCATCTTTATATCATCTTTTTTCTTTAATTTATCTTAGAAACTGTTTAATACATTTGAGGTAGTAGGTTGGTAGACAGCAACCACCCAGGGAAGTACTACCGTCCTGCCAGATAACTGTGAAACAGAAACCTGTAACTGTTTTGCATGATGGTAGGATTGCTGGTTTCTTT